AGTCCCACTGCTTAGACACCCAAATGTGTCCCTTCCAGAAAAACTGCAAATGACTGATAGCATCTTTATCCCTACTTAATGTTATCTAGAAAGGCGGGAAGAAGACCAAGAAAGTGATTAATTGCGCAAAAAGCCTAGTCACAGTTATAACCCAAAGCTCCCCTTTTGAGGATGCTGGTTTACCGTGACTTTTTTTAATCCCCAGCAAAGCACGGCTCTCTAGCGTAGTTGGCTAAACCGGACTTCGCAGTGACCGGATGACGAACTCCTTGTGGTCCGGGTTCACGCCCGAGGTTAGGCAGAAAAGCCACATTTCTCCCAGATTAACGGTACCTATCATGGAATCAAGGCCGAAGGGATGCGATATCTATAATACTGAGCCTAAGGGTTAACAACTCATGGCTTCTGGATACTAAAAAAAAAAAAAAAATCCCCAGTAAAGCACCTATCTACCTTTGACTACGTACAGTCGAAACTCAATTAGCCAAAGAGCGGCTTTGCAGAACGGCAACCAAGCAGCAACAGGGCACCAGCACAGCGATCAGCAGGAGGTAAACCAAGCACCAACAACAATCAGCTAAAACCCACAGATTTCATCACTTAGAGAACTGGACCACACCAGATCCAAAAACCACAAGCACCACACCGCAGCAAGGAAGCACAGAACCGGAGTATCAGGTGTGACTACACACCACAAATAAAAGGAATCCGAATAAGGCAGCCAAGGAGCCTTCCTTCATATAGCAGGCCTCCGGGCAGCTGAAAAAGGATCAAGTTTGGCATTTTTGTTAGACAATCTGGAATGTAATGGAATCAGCCAAAGAAGGAAATTGTAATCGATGCTTATTTTATCCTGCGAGCTGAAGGCGGTGGGTTCAAATCTGCATTGAGCCGCATTTGGTATCTCTTGACATTGAAGCCCAGCATAAAAGGAATACCAGGTAAAGTCTTGGAAAGTAGAGACGGTCGGTGTGATGTTGAGAACATTACTCACCGAGTGCCGATAGGTATATAAACCATATGTCTAGCCCTATTTGCCCTGCAGGGCCTAAAAAAAAAAAAGATTTTTGCGCCTGATACATTTTATGTTATCACAGATTGATACTTTTTATGTTATCACAGATTGATACTTTTTATGTTATCACAGATGCATTTTCTTCCACTATAGAAGTACAGACCGTTTTCCAATACTTCAGTTGTACTTGGCATAAAGGGCTAGACCTATATTTTATACAGCAATGAGCATTTGGTGGGTGATGTTGTTAACATCACGCCGGCCACCTTTACTTCCCCGGACTGCACGTGGTCACCACTCGAGGATGGGTCGACCTCGGAGCCAAAGTCATTTTTGAAAAAAACTCTGGCTCAGTCAGGAGCAGGCAGGCGATTAAACGATAAACCCCGTCGACTCCATTTTCTTCCAGTTATAATAGGGAGTCTACTTGGTCTCGAGACATGGTGTCCGCCTCGAGTACCAGAAGTTCCTAGTTCAATCCCCGGTAAGGGCTGGGATTTTTTCATGTGGTCTTAGACTTCTAGTAAATTCCCCAAGTCTATGGGTATTAAGATCGGACGGCCGTGTGCATTGTTGTAAAAAGTCCCTTGGCATTTGGAAATCGAAAAGAGTAGCCTAACGGCGCTGCCCTGGCAAAATTTGGAGTTAAAAATTTACCCAAAGTATTTCAGGATCCTCGTCGGTGCCGCAGAGCCTGTGCGCTGTGCTGAGCTTCTTTGGACTCAGACTTGAGTTAGAAGACGAACGGAGCACTAATGCGTTACTACCCGTGTGCTATGATGTTGATCCGTTGTTCAAACTTCAAACCTCAAACCAATTATAATAGTAATATATAGGGAAATTTCTGTTCCTATGCGAACATTGTCTATCTAGGTCCACGTATCTATATTATTGAAGTATATCTACATTTTTGTAATTCCCAACGCCATTTGCTCTCTTGTTCTTCGTTTGTCGTCTCACTGATACCAGGTTGTAGCCCAGTGTCGTGATTTTCTCTATTTGTCTTGCGCTTCTCAAGTGACTGTGAGGTGGGGGTGGGGGGGGGGTGGGGGGGGTGGTGGGGGTGGGGGGGTGGTGGGGGTGGGGGGTGGATTTGTTCTTTGTGTGTGTGCAGGTTTTCACACCAATAATCATTCTCTTCCTTGGTCTTACTCTCCATATTCTGCTGTAAAAAGGTCTCATATGCAATTTGGTCTGGCTGCATCTTCATTAGATGGTTGAACCATTTCATTCTTTGCCTGTCACTATAATCCAGCCATGGTCTTATTCTAACTTTCTCTCTAATGCTGGTTTTCGTAAACCAGTATCGTTTTGTGTTTTAGTGACCTTGCGGAGACAGCTCACTTCACATATAGTTATTTTCTATTCTAGTGCCTAATTCATTGGGCATCTTTGGTACTAATAACTTCAGGTAGGGGTAAAGATATTATTAATCATTTGCAGTTTTGCTGGAAGGAAGACGTATTGGTGTCTAAGCAGTGGTCTAACTAGTAAGTAACATTATTTGCCTCCTGTGTTCAGGATTTTATCTCTTTACCTTGCTCTCTGCTTGGGCAATACTTGTTTTTCTGACTGTTGTTTTTCGAGCCTCACGTGGATACTCAATTTTGCTGCTCATTTTGCTTAGTACAATCAGTCACTCGTCTTTCATCGCGTTCCTGATGACTCACTCCCAGAGTCTATCAGCAGTTCATTCGAATCAGATTATTTTCATATACGCATAACTTAATGGTTCATTGACTGACTCATTCACTTTTTGAATCAATTATTGATTTTTCTACCGACACACACACACAAACATACTTAAGAATCACGCAGCAAATGTTGGATTTGTTTCAGGCAACATGCATACAGGATTACCAAGAGATTTACAAATATGATTAAAACAGGATTACCTACAGGATTACAAAAGAGATTAATAATAAACACAAACACACAATGCGTGTGTGTAATAGGATATGTGTGTGTAAGAGAGAGAGAGAGAGAGAGAGAGAGAGAGAGAGAGAGAGAGAGAGAGAGAGAGAGACAGAGAGAGAATACAATATGTGGAGCTCCCCAGACCACAAACCTAACTCCTCGAGATAAATTTGCCTTCCTCTTGTGGGTTCCAGGGCTCCATTTAAGGGAAAAAACCGCTTCCCCAACAAGCATGTCGTAGGTCAATAAAACAAATATACAAGCAAAACTCAGGCACTGGCACAAAGTAAGAGCCAAATGGACAAACAACCAGGATTTTTCGCCGGAGCTTATAGCCAGTTAACAAAGAAGACGAGGAAGGAGGAGGACGAGAAGGGGAAGGAGGAGAAGAAAAAGAAGAAAAGAAGAAGAAGAAGAAGAAGAAGAAGAAGAAGAAGAAGAAGAAGAAGAAAGAAGAAGAAGAAGAAGAAGAAGAAAGAAGAAGAAGAAGAAGAAGCAGAAGCAGAAGAAGAAAGAAGAAAAAGAAGAAGAAGAAAAAGAAGAAGAAGAAGAAGAAGAAGAAGAGAAGAAGAAGAAGAAGAAGAAGAAGAAGAAGAAGAAGAAGAAGAAGAAGAAGAAGAAGAAAAGAAGAAGAAGGAAGAAGAAGAAGAAGAAAAAAAGAAGAAAGAAGAAGAAGAAGAAGAAGAAAAAGAAGAAGAGAAGAAGAGAAGAAGAAGAAGAAGAAGAAAAGAAGAAGAAGAGAAGAAGAGAAGAAGAAGAAGAAGAAAGAAGAAGAAGAAGAAGAAGAAGAAAGAAGAAGAAGAAGAAGAAGAAGAAGAAGAAGAAGAAGAAGAAGAAGAAGAAGAAGAAGAAGAAGAAGAAGAAGAAGAAGAAGAAGAAGAAGAAGAAGAAGAAGAAGAAGAAGAGAAGAAGAAGAAGAAAAGAAGAAGAAGAAGAAGAAGAAGAAGAAGAAGAAGAAGAAGAAAAGAAGAAGAAGAAGAAGAAGAAGAAGAAGAAGAAGAAAAGAACGAAAAGAAGAAGAATAAAGAAGAAAAAGAGAAGAAGAAGAAGAAGAAGAAGAAGAAGACAAGAAGAAGAAGAAGAAGAAGAAGAAGAAGAAGAAGAAGAAGAAGAGAAGAAGAAGAAGAAGAAGATAAGAAGAAGAAGAAGCAGAAGAAGAAGAAGAAGCAGAAGAAGAAGAAGAAGAAGAAGAAGCAAGAAGAGAAGAGAGAAGAAGAGAAGAAGAAGAAGAAGAAGAAGAAGAAGAAGCGAAGCAGAAGAAGAAAGAAGAAGAAGAAGAAGAAGAAGAAGAAGAAGAAGAGAAGAGAAGAAGAAGAAGAAGAAGAAGAAGAAGAAGAGAAGAAGAAGAAGAAGAAGAAGAAGAAGAAGAAGAAGAAGAAGAAGAAGAAGAAGAAGAAGAAGAAGAAGAAGAAGAAGAAGAAGAAGAAGAAGAAGAAGAAGAAGAAGAATAAGAAGAAGAAGAAGAAAAAAATTAAAAGAAGAAGACCTTCGCCTCATTCACTCCTCCAGAAGTTCAGAGAACCAGATTCGGTGAGCATGGCCGGCAACACTCCCCGTTTCTGATCAACCTTGTATGTGTCATTCATTTGCAGTGATTCCTCCTTCTCCCAATATAACTGATTCTATAAACATGCATAAGGAGATCGAGACAGGATGGGTGCGAAGACAATGGTGGAAGACACTGAAGAAATCCCATCTGACAGCATTAGTTTCATTGTTGTGCCGTGATACTCTGGTGTACGTGGAAATAAACGAGCGGATGCCCTGGCAGGGCTATGGTAGCCACAGGATAAGCAATGGGCCGAGCAGATCTGAGTGCTTTCAATGAGACATGAAGAGTAGGTGATTTAGGAGAGGACGGTGACGTGGCAACCGTGGCAAGACTTTCCAAAAAAAAAAAAAAAAAAGTATGAAGATTGATAAAGGTAAAACATTATATCCATCCTTTAATCCAGTGCAGAAGATGAAAACTTAGTAACTTGGTCTAAACACACAGAGATACAAGAGAAAGGGGTTTGTTTAGACCTTTGACTGATTCTTACAGACACAAGACATGACATGGACTAACCTTTGACCCCACGGCTGTCTCCAACTCCCATGTAGCTCCAGCTGTGTATTTCAGGGTTTACGTAACCGGAAACGAAGGCAGAATTGGCGCCACTTGCAAGAATACGGCTGCCGTAGTTGTCGGAAATGGCTGCTGGGGGTCTGGACAACTGGCGGGACAGTGCCGACTCTGTACGCGTTGATGGAAGTAAAGTGATCTCGCCACCACCTTCTGGTATGCCGTACTGGTATTTGAGGTTCTCCTGGAGAGAGCCAGGCAGGCTGGTGTAGATGGCTTCGTTGGTTGTTTGACCCCATGCTTGAGGAGCTGGCGAATGAGCGTGACCGTTATTGTAGCTGTTTGCTGTAGAAGTCAAAGATGTCTGACGGGAGGAAGTATCAAACAGCGAGGGTATCGAAGACAGATAGGCCGAGTGCTGACTCACATGTCTAGGACTCTCAGAGTACGATGGCGGCTGCAGTGTCAGGAGACGTGCCCTAGAACTATGACCACCATAGAACATAATTGATTGTCCAGGATTCAAAGGTGAGTTGTTCAGGTGTGCGTAACTTATGTTATCAGACTCTGTACTGGTTATATACTGGGCACCGGTCAGCCCTTGACCTCTGCTGTCCACAGCCATTACGGAAGTGGATTGTCTCGACCCGTCTAGATCGTGGAAAAAGACTTCAACATCTTCGGTAGGAAGGAGGTGCTGTGGTGTATCGTATTGGTTGCTGGAGTGGGAGACTGAGCCTCCTAGTGAGGACAAGTGAGACTGTATGGATGCTCTTTGGCCCAGATGAATGAGGTCTGAAGTTGACTGACCTAAAGCTGAATTGTGGGATGTCAGAGCTGACTGCCCTAGAGGAGTTAGGTGAGAAGACAGGGAAGTTGAGTGACCAAATGTGGACAAATGGGGCGTGTCCGAATGTTGAAACCGCACATGTGGGAGACTAGGAACGCTTCCTCCGGCAGATTTTTTCTGGCGATGTGACTGAAGTTCTGAGTAGGATGGAGGCGTATCTTTGCCTGCTTGATGACTGGGACTAGATTCCCGGATTTGCTGGAGGATCTGGCCCGAGTTATAAGTAACACGGACTGTACTGCCACCAGTGTTTCCTGGGACACTAACGTTGTACTCCTGAGAGGTTAACGCGCCGGCACTAACAGCCACTGCTTGAGGAGGAGGCGGCCCTAATTCGTCTGCTTGGAATTGGTCCTGAATATAAGCATGGGATCTGTTTATACCCTGCCTGAGCTTCTGCTCATTTGCTTGGTTAGCTATTGATGAACTGTACAATCTACTCCCTGGGTTACGTTGTGCTTTTTTGTCTAAAATACCCAAAGTGGGGGGTGTTTGTGCTGTAGCTTCGGTTGATTCGTGAATGGGGGAGGAGCTAAAGCTGTCTGAAGCTTCTGATTTGATGCTATTATATATCAAAGTCGGGGGCGTAGTTCTGCGATCAATACCGTACGATTTATTGGCTGGTGATTTTGCTGAAGCAGGTGAAGTGGAATTTGATTTAATAAAAGCTGATTTCGGGGAGGCACCTTGATGTCCTGGAGAATAAGATGTAGATGAGGATCCAATAGCAGGTGGCACGGAGACAGGTGTTGTGGCTGCGTGGTCAGTGGTGAAGCGATGAGGTGAAACTGCTAAAGAGTGTGGATTGAGTTGGTCCTTTTGCGACATGGGTGAGGTGAGCCCACAAACCGAGGATAGTACTCACTTGAGGGATTTTCTAGGTAGCTGAACAGGATGGCAGATGATAGACTGTTGGATGTCTTCTCGCGCACCTCCTGATCTGTGGATGACATTGATGACACTCGTTATATAAACACATCGTTGAAGATTTTCACGGAATATCAAGCTAAAATTTAATAAGGAAAGGGAATTAGTGATGCTTTTCACACGAGTCAACCAGAGATTCTCTAAAAGACAAAAACCGTCTGCTGTGTTAAATTAAAGATTCTCTAGTAGAGAAATTCTGCTGACATGACTAAACTGGAGGTTCTCTGGAAAAGAGAAACTGCCCAAGGTACTCAATTGACAATTCAGGGAAGAGAAACCGTTCGCAGCGTTAAATTCTCTAGTAGCGAAATACTGCTTACATTACTAAACTGGAGGTTCTCTCTCACTCGTTGTACCCCACCAGGACATCACACAAGCGATAAATACCCGATGAAACAAAGTGCCACCACGAGGATGAAGATCACCCGTGGAGATTTCACGGCAACCGCTTTCAGCCGTTAGGCCATATTTATCATCTCCTTCTTCTTTTCCGCCTTGTTCCTCAGTGAAGTGTCCGGTGGGAGATGTAATGTTCGTTGATGAGCTCTGTCAAGAGCCCTATTAAGACTGATGTTCATTTCTGTAAGGCTGTTCTTAATGCCATCACTCCATATTTTCCGAGGTCTTCCACTCGCTCTATACCCAGTTGTAACGTTTTAGTGTGGCTTGTTGTGGCGGATAGTACCAGGGCATTCTTGTTAGGTGTCCAAACAACTTTATTTGTTGTTCTATGATGACCTGTAAGACTGGCTTTATTCCTAGCATTCGTCTGATTTCCTGATTTCATATTCTGTCTTTCCTTGAAACTCCTGCAGCTCTTCAAAGGCATTTCATCTCTGTTGTAACAATTTTACGTTCATTGGAGGAAGTAAGTGTCCACGTTTGGCATTGATAGCATAGTGTTGGCAAAAAAAAAAAAATAAAGTTCTGATAAGATTCACTTTAGTACTCTGAAGTATCTGCTTGTGTATCAACAGGGGAGATAGTTGCCCCATTACTTGATTAGCTTTGGCACATCTGGAGCTAATTTCTCTGTCCAGTTTTCCGTCGGATGTGAACATTTCTCCCAAATACTTATCAAGGTGGGGCTTCAAATAACGTAAAATTGCATCCCACATGGGGATGATTAACAATCGTAGAGAAGACACAAACTGTCCAAGGTACGCATTAACAATTCTCTATAAGGTAAATTTATCATATCAGTTTATCTAAAGACATTCCGTTGAGTTATATAACACGCAGGCGGCCAGGCTACATTTCAAGACCAGAGGCAGAGGCTGTAACATATTATCAACACTTACTGATGGGCTAACTGTGAAAGGCTCGGTTCTGAAGATATCTTTGGTAATTCTTCTTTCAATTTCTCTACACATAAAAGCACCCAATCCCTGTGTAATGCTATACATGACATTCTGTTTCCACGAATCCACCCCAATACTTGTATCATTCATATCATGCTTGTACATCACATTTATGGTAGCCACCGTGATGTAACGACTAGATGCCCAGCTGCAGAGCCGAAGTTCGTGGATTCAGGTTCTGACAGAGATGGATTTATTAAAAAAAAATACCGTTTGCCTTCAATGGGTACCAGCTGAAGTCCTAGGAATTAAAGGTGACCAACGTGAGGTTTACCACGCAATTGGTCTATAAAATATACGTATATCTCTATACGCCCAGAACGTCTGAAAGCGTGGAAAAGGGTCCGTTAACTTTACATTGTTATTAAACTTTTTTTTTTTTGACACAGCTTTACATCAAAGCATAATTTCCCCGGTGTAAATTTGAACAAAGAAGACACACACAATAGATTGCACAATTTATTGCCTGGCATATTTCGCTGTCTCTCGACAGGTGTACACTAGAGTAACAATTACGTACACGAAGCAAATAATTGAATCGTTTACAGCCAAAGTACAATTTACTGCGATTTTGCACTTCAGTTTAAACAAACCATCCAGTCGCTTCACGGTGTTACTGCAGTATGCACCTGACGACCTGACGAGAATCTCCCCCCACCAGTATATCACAAAGCGACAAACTGGATGCCAAAGTGCCAATTTTGAGGACAGAGGTCCCAAAATTCAGATACAAAATGATGACCTGCCTATATTGCGGCCCCTTTTCAAATAACAAAAAATAACGTCCTAAAAAGGACGTCTGTATAACTGACGAGATACACCTGTATATTAAAGTAAAGGCTGGATGCCAGAATTTTTACAGATTAACAAAATTCACATACAAAAGATATCCTTTGGAATTCTACCAGCCTCCACCCCCTTCCCCCACCCCTAGGCGTATCATACTGATCTGGGCGTGATGGCAATGCGATTCAGGATATCTTCACAGAAACGGAAAAGATCACGTTATTCATTCATTAGCGAATGTCATCACAGATTAAAGAATGCTGGTTTTAAAGAAGGGAAATAACCGCTAAAATGTCATAATCACTGCTAGGTTCTCATATTTAGGCACCCAGTGACTGTCTTTTTATCAAGCCTTTTTATGATCGTTACGGTATCTCCGTCAGCTTCTGTGGCGTAGGCGACACGAACGCACCTCGTAATGCGGGGTGCCGGGTTCGATCCCAGCTGCCGGCTATGCGCCTTGCTTAAGTTTCGACATTGGTATAAAAAAGGCGACCGTCTAGACAGCAATGACAAACTACTGGACGTAAACTTGCCTCGAAAAACCACAACAGCCAAGGTATGCTGGGATTGGTTCTGCGACGTCCTGTAAATGATACGCAACTAACTTATGGTATCTGCGGGTTAGGTTGTGAATGCAGCTTCACACTTTCGACACATAGGAAGGCCTACAAACGCAAATCTCAAAGAAATATTATTTTAACCTACAAAATGCGAATGGTGTTAAACATACACCACAATTGCAATTAATGAGCAGCAAGCTGCAAGTGAGAGAGTTTGTGTGAGAGATAGTATGTGTGTGTGTGTGTGTGTGTGTGTGTGTGTGTGAGAGAGAGTTTGTGTGAGAGATAGTATGTGTGTGTGTGTGTGTGTGTGAGAGAGAGAGTTTGTGTGAGAGATAGTATGTGTGTGTGTGTGTGTGAGAGAGAGAGTTTGTGTGAGAGATAGTATGTGTGTGTGTGTGTGTGAGAGAGAGTTTGTGTGAGAGATAGTATGTGTGTGTGTGTGTGAGAGAGAGAGTTTGTGTGAGAGATAGTATGTGTGTGTGTGTGTGTGAGAGAGAGAGTTTGTGCGAGAGAGTGTGAGTGTGTGCGTGCGTGAGAGAGAGTGTGTGAGTGAGTGTGTATGTGTGTGTGTGTGTGTGAGTGTGTGTGAGTGAGTGTGTATGTGTGTGTGTGTTTGTGTGAGCACGCTGGTGAGTGTGTGCACGAGTGCTAATAGCACCGTTTTTTATTAAATGCAAATATTTGACTATAATTTTTTCCACACTATAGGAATACTTGGATGTGTTTCCATGTTTCCTACAGCTTTCCCCCCATATGTTCCACAGCCCCTCCCCCCTCCCACAACTCTTTTCCCCACAGGTACATTTCCATTGTCCTTACAGATGCATTGTATTTTTCCACAGCTGTATTTGCATTGTCCCCACAGCTGTTTTTCCATTGTTCCCACAGCAGTTTTTCCATTGTGTATTTGTATGCAGACCGTTGGTACCTTGGCTTTCAAGCATATGCACTGACTTCGAAAGCAACATCGCTAATAGTGGCCTTGTATGACATGCTACTTAAGGGAAAGGCGGGGGGGGGGGGGGGGGAGGAGGAGAGACAGTCGACTAATAAGGTTTTCCCTCACAATGCGGCCTAGCACTCACTCAGGGATGACAAGAACTACACAGTAAAGTTAAGAGAGTAGAGAGAACATGGGGTCAGTTGCAAGCGACACAATAAGGTTTGAGGTTTTGTGCAACGGAGCAACATCACGGCACACGGGTGTAACCCATATGTGCTCCCCTTTTCTTCTAACTCAAGTCTGAGTCAAATCTGAAGAAGCTCAGCACAGTGCACAGGCTCTGTAGCGCCGGCAAGGATCCTAAAATAATTTGGGTAGAATTTTAAATCCGAATTTTCCCGGACAGCGCCTTTAGGCTACTCTTTTCGAATTCAAAATGCCAATGGATCTTTTACGTGCGCAACAATGCATACGGGCGTCCGATCTCACTACCCAGAGACAAAGGGGAATTACTAGAAGTTCAAGTGCACGTGAAAAAATTCTAGCACTTACCGGGGATTGAACCAGCAACCTTTAGTCCTCGAGGCGGACACAATGCCTTGAGACAACGCAGCCTCCTTGCGACTATATAAAAGATAGGTCAGCATTGCGTCACCTTCTTGAGGGTTATGCTTCATTGGAAAAGCGAGGGGTGGTCAAGGGCAACATAAAAAGAAGAATGGAAGAAGAGTAACCAACGACAAAAGGAGGCCAACCAGTCAAGGTAACAAACAACAATTGTTTGACACAGCACAAGACAATAAGTCACAAGAGACCGATAACTTGTGAACACAAAGATAACAGGTAACATTTCAACAGCCCTTATCATCGTCCGCTGGCTAGACTTATCTCTGTCGTGTATTTGTGTTAGGTACGAGGCAGGCTGGCTGGTTCGAACCTAGATAGATAAAAACTGTGTTGAGAGCTTTTGTAACCAACCAGAGGGAGTTTCACATGTTCTCAAGCTTGATCTTTTCCTTAAATTATCAGTTGAAATTACTTACAAGTTTCAAATTAGATTTGAACGTGTCAAAAAAGTGACTCTTGCGGGGCACAAGTCGGCTAGTTGGAGGATGTGCATATCTAAAGGTCTTTTCACTGGGAGGCTATAATGGGTGATTCTGGAGGTGTCTGGGCAGGTTTTGGAGAACCAGACTGTAGCTTTTGTGCTGGGGTAGGGGGGTGTATGTGGGTGTGTGCGAATAG